AGAATAGGGAGGAATGTGGGCAGGGAGAGGCTCTAATGTGCTCAGCCACAAACCCCAACTGAACTCTTTTTTTTTTAGACAGGGTTTCTCTGTGTAGCCCTGGCTGTCCTGGTACTCACCATGTAGATCAGGCTGGCCTCAAACTCAGAAATCAGCCTCCCAAGTGTTGGGATTAAAGGCGTGCGCCACCACAGCCTGGCCCAATGGAACTCTTAGCCCTCAGTGGATTTTAGGTAATCTGGCTCAGTGGAAGCCTAAGCTCTGAACTTTTTTTCTTTCCCTGATTTAAAAATTTTAAATAGTAAATTTACATTTACATTCATTGTAGATGGATAGATAGATAGATAGGTGATAGATAGATAGATAGATAGATATGGGAAGCAGGAAAAAGGACATGAAGAAGATGAAAATCACCTGCGCTCCCACTGCAGGCGCTCGCTAATCACTGTTGACGTTTGGCTGAGTGGAGATGCCTGCGAGCACCAATTGCTTTTCTTCCTTCTCATTGGAACGGCAAGGAGCGGTCTCAAGTCATTACTCTTTGTGAACCTGTTCAAAGGCCTTTCACCCCCCAGGTTGTATGCCATCATTTACTGAACTTGTTCTCAGTTCTTGGACATTCAAGTGACTGTAAAAATCACATGTCTTTGTTCATGCAGGGGACAAGCCTTGCTTGAGGGACTGGAGGAACCCCTCAGAGCACAAGGAGGGAGGGAATCCAGGAAAGGTTGTATGTGGCCTGGACTGCAGCGGTTCGGCTGGGTGTCTGAGCTAGAGAACCTGACAGGAGTAGACAGTGAGATAGGGTCACTTCCTTCTGCCTGCTTTGGGCTTGAGGACAGCCTCATGGTCTCCAGGCATCTCTCCATCCCTTTTGGTGGGAGGAGAGGGCATGAAAAAGAAGGGCAGAGACCTGTCAAGGCTTTTAGAGGTTTGGGCAGGAGTGAGTTTGATGCATGTAGCTGGTCTAAATGCCCTGGGGCTGCCCACTCTTCCTCAAGGCCCCTGCACACCTCAGCCAAAAGAAGAGAGGTAGAGTGCTGCTTTGGCTGAGACCCTGGAGGACCTAGACCCAGGGGCTATCCATTAAGACTATCTAGAGAAGAGACTGAGGGTCCTCTGGGAGCTATGTCCTTGGTTTCGGGAGACGTAGGTAGAGACAAGACAGAACTAGAGTGGCACCGGTGGAGCTGGGAGGGCAGAGCCAACTTTGTGACTCTGCAGTCTCTCTGCCCAAAGCAGATCTTTTGCCTTTCTCTCACCTCACTCAACCTGCCCCACTGGGCAATGGCTGAAATCATGATGATGTAGCTTGCTAGTCTCTGAATGTGTTCGCCTATCCCCTACATTAACAGGAGCCCCTCCTGCGGGGCTCCATGGGGCTGTAGGATCATAAAATATTGGTACTACAATTGCCCTCTGTAGACACTTCACCCAACCCTTCATGGGTGAGCTCAGGGAACCTGACAGGCCAAAACAAGGCCGACAGACCAGGAATGGGCCCCCAATGTATCTGAAAGTCCAGGAAAGGCCAATGGACTAGGAATGGACCCCCAATGACTCCCGACCCACGAGCCCTGGGCTCATGTGGCCTCCAACTCTACACCTGTAGATCACATTTGCTCAGAGACAGGAACCTGGGGGTTCAGAAGCTTTCCTCAGGAATTAGAGAGACTGGGCCTGCTGGGAATCTCCCCAGAGCTCCCCAAGTGTAGACCTCGGGTATTCCAGTTCCCTGCCATCAGGAAGGAGCCTTGTTCCCATCTCTGTAGTTCAGGGTTCCTTGCTTTTTAGATTCCCAGGGAGGAAAAATGAGGCCCTGCATTTGTAATCTGAACCTACATTCCAACCCAAGCTTTATGCCCCATCACTACACTGGGAAGCTTCTGTCACAGCTGGGTGACAGTCACATGGAACTCACAGCAGAGCGATGTGTAAGCAGGGCCCCTAGGCACATGGCAACCCTGCGCCCCAGCACCTCCTGTACCCACCCTGCCTCGGGAGAGGCCTGTCAGGCCACATGCCTTGTCTGCTGTGCTTTGTTATTCTTCATTAGACATTCCTCCAGCTCCGGCTCCCGTGCAGAACTCTCAGGGGCTCAGCACCACGGCAGCCTCTCCTCATCTCTTTCCTCTCATGTAGGTATCAGCCCATGCTCTCCCCAGTGGTGAGTCAGCCAAGGGAAACCTAAGACCTTTCAGACATGCCCACAGTGCCCTGCTCCCATCCTGATGCCCCTCTCCTCCGGTTACTCAGTTTCCGTCCACTACTCAGGCATTGTTCCTGGAGCCATTCCATCTCCAAGGCCATCTCTCTAGAACCCATCCATGTTCCCTGGGGGCAAATGTAGAAATGGCTCCTTCCGGGGCATTGATGGTGAATGTTTAATGGTGCTGGGACAGGGGGTGGGATCAGATGAGCTCAGCCCTGGGAACAGGAATCTTCCCCTAGGCTCTCCCTTCTTCTGTCACTAGCAGAACAGCAGCTGGGATGTCAGAAAGGCCCCAGTGGGTGAAGACGAGTTCTGAAGCCCAGAAATAAAGATTGCAGCCTCTGGGGCTGGACAGATGGCTCAGCGGGTAAGAGCACTGGCTGTTCTTCCAGAAAACCCAAGTCGGTTCCCAGCACCCACAGGGTGACTCACAGCTATCCATAACTCCAGTTCCAGGGATCTGACACACTCTTTTGATCTCTATGGGCACCAGGCACACATGTGCTGTACATGTGTATATGTATCATACATATAAAATAAATAAATAAATAAATTTAAAAAATAGCATCTCCCATGTATCATCGTCAGGGCTCTGTCACCTCAGTCATCCCTGTGGATCCTCAAGGCAACTTCATAGGATAGGCAGGGCTTATCATCTGTTTATTTCTTTTATTTTATTGGTTGTTTATTTTTTGTTGTTGTTTTGGTTTGTTGTTTTGGTTTGTTTTGAGACAGGATTTCTCTGTGTAGCCCTGGTTATCCTAGAAGTTGCTCTGTACACTAGGCTGGGCCTTGAACACACAGAGATCCCCCTGCCTCTGCCTCTCAAGTGCTGGGACTAAAGGCGTGGGCCACCACTGCCCAGCATCATCTAGTCTTTATGGGTAATGAAACTCAGGGTCTTGAAGCTCACCAGAGTCATCAAAGCCATGGTAGAAGCCAAGTCTGCAGACCAAAACCCAGGGCAAGTCACACCAGAACCATCCCAAAACTATGGAAGTCCCTGAGGCTGCTTCACCCCTCTCTCCATATCTGTTCCTCCCTGCTGGAGTGTGTGGATCTGTTGTAGACATACTCAGTGGCTTTTCTCTTCCCTCCAGCCAACCTTCCAGGTACAGGGTAAACAGACATCAGAAGGAGGGAAGGAAGGCAGCCCCCCAGTACATCCATAATCTGAGCCTGTGGGACCTGTGCACTTCCTGCTGGGGTGCACTGGTGCAGACCTCAGCACCAAGGATGCTCTGCCATAGAATCTGCAGGAACTTCCCAAGCTCAGTTGATCTAGAGAGCAGATTAGCCTAAAGTGCTCTTCCTAAGACTACATTTTTGGGGGTCAGGAAAAGTACCCTCTTCTACTAAGAGCTATAGCCATAAACATAGCCCCTGTGCAAGCGTAACACAGATTTAAGAATAAACCTTCCTTTAACCCCCAGTTGCATCTACCCCAAGACCTGTAATATCACTTGGACTCTTCTCTCCAGCTCTGCCACTGAATTCCCAGTATTTCTGCAAATCCTGAACTTTGTGGCCTTCCTGCCTCAGCCTCCCAAATAACTGGGATTACAGGCCTGTATCATCCGGGAGTTTCAAGTATCCTTGGTTTACCTGGACACAGTAAACTCCACCCTTCCCAATGAGCCTGGAGTGTTTGTGCACACCCAGTAAGTAGGAGGTTGGGGCAGGAAGGTTTCAAGGTCAGTTTCGGCTGCATAGTGAGTCTTTAGTTGTTTGGTTGTTCTGTAGTGGGTTTTGCTGTTGCTTTGTTTTGTTTTGAGACAAGGTCTCACTATGTAGCCCAGGCTGGCCTCAAATCTGAGTACTGAGTTTACAGGTGTAAGCCCCCATGCCTGGATTACATAGTGAGTTTGAAATCAGCCTGGGCAACATAGTAAGACACAGTCTTAAAATAAATAAATGAAGCCCAGCAGCAGTGGTATACATCTTTAATCCCAGTACTCAGGAGGCAGAGCAGAACAGATAGATCTTTTCTGAGTTCAAGGCTAGCCTGGTCTACAGATAGAGTGCTGAGACAAACAAAAACAAAGATTAAAAACAAATAATCAATTTAAGAAGAATAAAGTCTTGTTTTGACTCCTTCAGAGGTTTCAGCCTAAGATCTGGTCCTCGTATAGGGGGCAGGAAGTAAAAAAGAGAAAGGAAAAAAAAAACAACGAGTAGGCAAGAGAGCTAGTCTCCTAGCACTCCGCTTCAAGGCCGCACTCCCCCTGACCTAAAACCTCCCACTAGGCCCCGCCCCAAAGTGTTTCCACATCTCTGCGAACACCAAGGACTAAGCCTGTGACACACAGGCCTCTGGGCAGCCTTCAGATCCAGGCTACGGCGCCCTAACAATCATCTCGTGAACAGGCTTTCCATGTCTCAGCCTTTCCAGCCTCTCTGTTAGTTCTGCCCATTGCAGTTCCTAAACTCACGTGCTGCCATGCGCTGTACTCCCCCCTCAGGATAGACAACGAAGTTGTATATTGCCTCTCCCGCTGCAGTATTCCCAGCACTGGGTACGCCTGGCATATAGGCTAGTGCTGAATGATCATGTGCCAAGGAAGTAAATGAGTGAACCAACTTTCTGAAGTGAGTACCACCTCCATCCTCACTTCACAGACAGAGAAACTGAGGCTCTGAGAAATACCTAGTTCAAGGTCCCACAGGTGACAAACGGCAAAGCAGTGCTTAGGGCCAAGTGGGAGCACAGAGTTCACATACTCAACCACTCTAGGCCATGTATCCAGGGGCCTGGCCTCTGTAACTGCCTCTCTTGCTCTCCTGACAGGCTCCGTGAAGACTGCGTGGCGGCAGGAGACTCCCCTCCCTGGCCAACTGCCTATAGAACCATGGAGAGCCTGAGTGAACTACAGAACCCACTGCTACCAAGAAGCCCCACCCACCTCCACAGGCCCTACCCCTACCCGGAGGCCCCGCCCGGCTGGTCCTGCCAAGAGAAGCTTTATTCCTACCTTCTAGGAGGTGGTGGTCCCGCCCGTGCCCACCAGCTCCTAGATCCAGGGTCTCTGCAACTGGCCGTGGAGGCGTGGTATCGGCCCAGCTGCCTCCTGGGGAGGGACAAGGTCAAAGAACCCAAAGCAGGCAGCTGTGAGACCAGCTTCACCGAAGCCAGGGAACCATTGGTGGGGCCTGCCGAGCAGGGCTCAGAACCTGGTCAAGCTGAGGAAGATGTAACCATCCACACTGTGTCCTATGGGGTTCAAGAGGAGCTGCAGGGCCAGGAGGACAGCCAGGAGGAGGAGGTAAGTAGCATTTTTAAAATGTAGACTGTAAGGTGGGCGTGACGGAGCAGGCCCTTAATCGCAGCACTCGGGAGGCAGAGGCAGAAAGACGAAGGAATTGATGTCAACTTGGTCTGTAATAAAGACTTCAAAAACAACCTGCACGGCACAGTGGGACCCCATCACAAAAAAGAAGGCAACTTGTATTCATTCACAGCACTTGGGAGGTGGAGACAGAGGGATCAGGAGTTCAAAGTCAGCCTTGGCTACCTGGGTAAGTTCAAGGCTAGCATGGGCTACATGATACCCTATTGAAGAAAGGGGAGAAGGAGGAGGAAGAGGAGGACTAGCTTGGATTAACTATTTATCAACCCAAGTGATAAGGAGCAACCACTGTAAATAGCAACTATTAATCACTGGAAAATAATGTGATTATGTTGGTGGCTGATCTATCTCTTCTCTGCCTCTCTCCCACAAAGTATGTGGCTTTATAACCTGTTTTTCCGATATCGCTCTGTGTAATTTAATATCTCCTACAAGGTGATTTGTAAATGACAGGTTCATTCACTGTGAGCCCTTCCATCGTTTAACTTGATCTCCCGGTCTTTGGGCACTGAGGACACTTCTCATCTTCCCAGTCTCTCCCCTGGGATGAACGTCTCTGGGTTCAGAGAGTCGCATTCTTCCACAGTGAGAAGTTCTTAAAAGTACCGTCCACCAGGTCACTGAAAAGGCTCTCAGTGGAGTGACCTAGAGGGATAAGACAAGCCTCCACTCTCAACAGCAGACAAGGCTTGCTCTGTATCTACCCACTGGGTAGTACCTGTTTTGTCGTTGAGTTTTTTAAAAATGACATTAATAAAAAAAAAAAAAATAGCTGGGCGGTGGTGGTGCACGCCTTTAATCCCAGCACTTGGGAGGCAGAGGCAGGCGGATTTCTGAGTTCGAGGCCAGCCTGATATACAGAGTGAGTTCCAGGACAGCCAGGGCTACACAGAGAAACCCTGTCTCGAAAAAAAAAAAATGACATTATTAGCGGGGTGTTGGTGGTGCACCCCCTTTAATCCTGGGCACTTAGAGACAGAGGCTGAAGATCTCTGGGTGCAAGGACAGCCTGGTCTATAGAGCAAGTTCCAGGACAGGACTACACAGAGAAACCCTGTCTTGAAAAACCAAAAAACACCAACAAAAACCACTTGTCTATTTGTCTATCTGTCTATCTATCATCTACTGTGTGTATGGTCACAGCCTGTGTGTGGGAATCAGAAGACAACCTGTAGGAATCAATTGTCTTCTACCATGTGGGTCCTGGGGATTGGTGGCCGGCACCTTTACCCAAGGACCCACGTGTGTTTTCAACTCTTGTCAGTCTGACAGGGTTTCCCAGACCCTGGGTTGTGCCAGCAGACCTCACTCTCTTGCAGAGCGATGGGACCTCCACAGAGAGTGAGTGTGAAGATGCCTTCCTCACCCTGCCCCCCAGGGACCACTTGGGGCTCACCCTTTTCTCCATGCTCTGCTGCTTCTGGCCTCTGGGCATTGCTGCCTTCTACTTCTCCCAGGGGGTAAGTGTACAGGGGACCCAGGAGTGCCTGCCACCTCTCTCAGCTGGAGGACTTGACACTCACACTCATGTGCAGGATGGGGGTCAAGGACCTAGTGAACTGGGCTGTTTTGGGGGAGCATTGGGCTATTATCTTATTTCAACCTTTTGTCTCCCTAGACCAGCAAGGCCATCTCCAAAGGGGACTTCCGCCTGGCCAGCACCACCTCCCGCCGGGCCCTCTTCCTGGCCACACTCTCCATCGCTGTGGGAGCCGGTCTCTATGTGGCTGTGGTGGTAGCTCTGGCTGCGTATATGTCCCAGAATGGCCATGGCTAGTAGTCAGTAGGACTACCATCCTGGCTCTCCTGGCCTACCAGAGGAAGGTGTAAAACTTGGAACCGTGTATTCTGTAGAGAGCCTTGGCCCTGAAGAGAACCTGTGGCAATAGCTTGCTGAGGAGAGGCCTCCCGTTCTGCAGCCCACACAGGGCAATCTTGCCCTCTTGTCCACTGTTTCCAGTCCCAGAGCAGGCTGGGTGTGGATGGGGAGCAGAAGCAGCAGGTTGTTCAACGGGCCTAGCCTGGTATACTATGCCCATTCCCTGCAGGACCTCAGCCACACAGGCTGCTCAGTCTCTACTTGCCATCTTCCCCACAGAGAAAGAGCAGGAGGTTCCAGGAAGGAAAAAGAGTTCCAAAGGGACAAAGGACCTGGCCAGACTTTTCAGTCAAGAGGGTTCTCACCTGTGTACATTTTCAGCAGCTGCCCCGACCCCTCCTCCCTCCTCAAGGCCCAAGACCCTCCAATCAGGAAAGGAAAACATGGACCCCAGCCATCTCTTGCTCTTTCTGACTCTGGGTACTGCATGTCTCTGTTACCGTGTCTCCCAGGTAGAGATGGATCCAGAGAGCTCTGTAATGAGGGCAGGTTGCTAGGGCTTTTCTGTACCAGAAAAAAAAAGCAGATACTGTAACAGAGAGAATGAGGCCTGGGATACTGCAGGATCACATGACCTCCCCTGCTCTTCACCCACCATCCTTTCTGGGCTCTGCTGGAAGAGCCCTGAGAGGGTACCCCACCCGTGGAGACTAAGAAGGGTACTGTCAGTTCCCAGTTATAGCACGTAGCGTCCTGGATCCAGTCTTATGGGAAAAGGATGAGAAGGAACCCTGGGGAACATGGAACGTGGACAGAGGAAGAACATAGACAGATGCCTAAGGGATTTGCACCTCCATCACTCTCCATGCTGGTGGGCAGGGTGTGCAAGAGCCTCCCATGGAGGTTCCCAGGCTGCTCGGATTCTGCCTGGAATATCCAGTCTGGAGTAATTTTGCAGCCATTTCTAGACCTTCCATCAGCCTGAGCAGGAAGGCCAAGCCTTTCTCTCCACCTGAGATATTTCCCCATCTCTGAATGATGGGGCAGTGGTGGTAATGGTGCCTGGGCACCTTCACTGGTAACAACTACCATTCAAGACTGCTTTCAAACCCCTCCACCCCCAGGCACTAAGAGATGTCAGAGTTTCAGGGACACAAAGAGCAGAGAACATGGTACACTGGGAAGGCAGGTCCGAAGGGACTTAAGCTATGAACCATTGTGCACGATTTGGGGGACCTGGCTATTTCCATGCCCCATCTAGCCCCACACCCTCCCCATCTTCCTCACTTCAGTTTGCCCACTCTCCACTCCCTGCACTGGCAGTTTTAATGTCCCCTTACTGTCTTTATTTATCCTGACAATAAACTTTTCTGTAACACCTGGTGCCATCTGGGGCCTCGGGCTGTCCTGTGCCTATAACTCAGGCTCCTCTACTGTATCTAAGTCTTATGTTCTGGATTGCCATATGGACCTCAAGAAAAAGGGGCCAGAGCCCACTGCTGCCCATAGACTACTCGCCTAGGGAAGCTGGGATGGAGGGTGATGGATTGCACTTGACTTAAGCAAGGCAAGGTAAGACACGACATAAGCCTGCAGAAAAAGCTCTCCTGGGTATAAGAGCCTGGGAGGTCAGGAAGGGAGAAGTGGGAAACAGTGTGTGCTCTCCATGGCTGCCCGGAGCTACCATGGGATAGACACAGGGTAAGGTACGCCAGTGGTCTCATTGTCCAGCTGTCCATTCTTGGATCCCCCGTGTTTTCTGTTCCTAGAACTGTTCCTGGGAAGTGTGGAGAGGAAGTCATCTACACCTCAGGTTCCAGCCTCAGCACTAAATTCCCAGTATCCTCTCTGTTCTCAGCCCTTAGCAGAGGAACTGGCCTGGCCTCAAAGTCACTGTGTCTAGAAGGTCCTAGGGAAGCATGCTATACATATCCTCTCCCTATAGGCATCCACATCTATGACAGGACTCTGTGTACAACCATGTGTTCTAGGTGAGCCAGAGGCCTTAGAAGAGAAATTCGAATTCGGGGAGTGTTCGTGGCAGGTCTGGGAATAGGGAGAGGCCAGGATGCTGTGCAGTCCAGATTAACAGTCTGACCAAACCAGGGTAGAATCAGGGTGCTCTTCGGAGTCAACACAAGACATGGATGAGGCAGGCCTTGCTTCACTCTCCTCTATCAGAGTCACTGGTTTGGGCCACCCAGAAGGGAACGTGACCTTGAAAAAGCCAGATTTCTTCAGCTGAGGCCAGCCTCTATGGGAGCCACCTGAAGGTCCCTTGGGTGTCACATCACTATATCCACCACCCTAAGCAGATGTGCTAACATCTGCCCAGATCCCTCTGCCCACTCTGCATACTGTGACTTGGTGAGACATGCCCAGAGGCAGGTCAAGCTGAAAGCACTGGAAAGGTGACCAACCTTCTTCCCTCAGTGCCTGGTGGGAATGGGTGGGTGAGTACTTTGATGTCTTGCCCCTTGGATGAGAGACTAGATATAGTGCCCCTAGTTCCCAGGGGTCCCCAGTAGGACCCTTTCCACCTTTCACTGAAGCAGTTCATTGGTAGCCTGACCCTCGCTGCCTGCCTTTCTTTCCCATCGCTCTCCTGCACTGCCTGAAATGGCCCCCATTGGATGTTTCTCAGGGTTAGCTTCGAGGAAACCCAAACCGGAACACATACACACATGCACATTCATATAAGTATGTGTTTGCACACATTTGCACACACATTCCTACAAACAGCTGTGCACCAGGCAGACTGCATGAGGCACGCAAATGCTCAAGAGACCAAGAAGGGTGTTGAGGACTCTCACTCAGATCTGCCCACCATTCCTTCTGTAGGCTGGCTCAAGACCCCAGGCCTAACTAAGCAGGCTGGCTCAGTATAGCCCAGCAACACCCACTCCCTTCCCAGTTTTTCAGTATGCCTGTAGGCTTTGAGAAGAAGGAAACTTCCGGTGTCCTCCATTCCCTCGTTTCCTTCTTTCCTTTCTCTCTTCCCTTCTTTCCCTTTCTTTTCTTTTCTCTGCCCCCTCCCTTTTTTTGGGTTTTCAAGACCCTGGCTGTTACTCTGTAGACCAGGCTGGCCTCTGCCTCCGGCGCTGGGATTAAAGACTTAAAGGCAAGCACCATCACCACCCAGCTCTCTTCCCTTCTGTCTTTTTTTTTTTTTTTTTCGAGACAGGGTTTCTCTGTATAGCCCGGGCTGTCCTGGAACTCACTCTGTAGACCAGGCTGGCCTCGAACTCAGAAATCCGCCTGCCTCTGCCTCCCAAGTGCTGGGATTAAAGGCGTGCGCCACCACCGCCCGGCCCCTTCTGTCTTAAGATGGAGTCTCGCTCTGTCTTTCAGGCTGCTTCATATAGACACATACCACCCTTGCTAGTTTGATTTACTATTTTCATCCCTAGTCTATTGGTTCCTCTCCCCGCCCCACCCCATCCTCCACACAGCCTTCTCCCTTCCGTCCCTACCCTCAGATACAAATTCAGGGTCTACCAGAGATGATGGGATGAGAAACGGCTCTGGAGGCTTCCCCCTGCTAGGGCAGGCCTGTTCTGTGGAGCCTGGGCTTGACCTGGAGTCCTTGGAGCACAGGCAGCCACACTCCCCCACCCTGGAGGAGACCTGCCTCTGGCATGCCTGGGGCACTTCAGTCCTCCTGCTCCCCAGCTCTGCTTGTGCCTCCTGCCCGAGGCCCAGGGCTGTCGGCTGGTTCCTCTGACTGGCAGAGAGACTGGGGGCTGGGGCTGGGGCAGTCCCCTGGGTAAAGGTTCCTGTGATGAGCTTCGGTGCCAGCACATCTGTGCAAATATTACCAATTATTTTCCTCACTATAAACACCCAGCAGGAAGGCAGGGAAGCAACCAACCCAAACTGTTTAAAATAGAAACTGAAATTGCTGCACAGGGAAGTCAGGGCGGCTAGCAGGGCAGCCCCACCACCACCATCAGACACATCATGAGTTCAGGGTCCACTTTATGTCGCACCTGCCCCAACTTATCCTCAACCTTCCAATTCCATGATAAGGTTTGTTTTCTGAAATGAAGACAAGAGAAGTCCTTGCTTAATGTATGAGGTATCTGGTGGAGGGGGACAGTCGTGCTGGGGAAGGGAAGCCAGGCTGAGGCCACCCAGCCTGAAGTTGGCAGCTGCTAAGCAAGCTCCTGCCCTCAGTAAGCCACAGAGCCAAGGGTGCTATGTGGAAAGGCGTTGGGGCTGTCCTGGTGAGAAAGCCATTCCCCCACTGCCCCAGGGCAGGCAAGAGGGTGGGGAGACTGGCCAAGTAAGGACAACAACAGGTCTCTGTTCTAAGAAAAGGCATTTTTCTGATGGCTAGAAACCAGTTCCCAGGGCCCAGCAGCCTTCTCTGACCTGCCCTCCCCATAAGCAGGCCAATGGGACACCAAGTCTTCATATAGTCACACAGATTGTCAAAATGGTGACATAATTTCATACCAGTTAATAAGTAGGCTCTTTCCTTCAAAATACTCCCCTTTCTGTTGCCCTGGCCACGGGCCCAGGACTCCAAATCTCCTCTTATCCTAGAACATAGAAGAGGGGGGCGGGGGAAAGATTGTAGGAGGTGTGGCCCAGAGCGGGGCAGTGAGCAGGATGTACAGCAGATATGTAAAGTAATAATAATAATTTTTAAATAATAAAACAAAATAACAAACAGAAACAAAACAAACAAAAACAGAATTAGCAGAACTAGCTCCCTTACCCAAATGTCTATATAGCTCTAAGCCTGGGCTGCCCTGATGGTTAAATATCTATCTGTCCCTGGCCATTGGTCTGTCTGTATTCAGCCTCTCCCCTCTCTAAAGCAGCTCCCCTCAGGATGGAGCTGTAAGAAACCCACCATCTTCACATGCCAAATATTCTTGCTGCTTTTTAACGATCTCAGCCCAGGTCACAGACTGGCCAGGCCTGAGTCCCACTCCAGAGAAGAACTGCAACAAGACAGTACCCAAGTCTTTCAAGACATGAATCCAGGGACGCTGAGAAGGAACAATGGAAACCCAGAAAGGATGAGTTACCCAGCAGGTTATGAGCTAACCTCTTGGCCTCACTACCCAAGCCCTGGTGCTGCTGATCTGGGCTGGTGATATTAGTCTTCCTGGAGGCAAAGAAAACCCAGACCACCTGCTGCCACCTTCCTGAACATTAACAGACTCAGCCCTAGCCCCCAGGTATCTCCTGGTTCAAAGGCTTCCCCAGTCATCCCTCTGTAGGGCCGACAACCTGGCTTTTGCTATTTTTGGTGGCAAGGCCCAGAGTGGGTGAGAGGGTGACAACCTTGCTTCATCCTGTCCCCAGGGGTTCTCACATCTTCTCTTGCACAAGGAGAGGAACCACTCTGGGCAGAGGAGTCCCCACAGGGAGACTCAGATGTTCTGAACAAAAATAAAAGGTGTTCATGCGGCTCATTTAAATTGCCAACGTCCCAGCCTCGGTCCCTTGAACTAACCCCACCCCCTCTCTGAAAGGCACGGCTGGCTTCAGAGCCAGTTCTAGCTCTGCAAGGAAAGTCCAAGAGAGCAGGTCTCCCCAGAAACATCCCAGAAGACAAGGTGCAGTGGGCTCATTTGCATCACAGTGAAGTGGCCAGGTACATTGATTGAGAGGGTGACTTGAGTACGGAAAGGGCCTTCTAACAAACTCTCCCACAGAGGGGGCTGTTCCTTTCCCCATCTTACAGACAGGGAGATTGAGGCTACCAAAGCCTGTATCATAGTAAATGGAAACACAGGCCCTAGGAGCATATGACTGCCATCACCCACTGCTTACATCCTGTCTGAAGCCACTTTCTAGAGACTTCTACTCAGATATGCAGAATGATGGCAGCCTGAGATCACAGCTTCTTGGAGACAAAAACCCCGGTTCAAGTCACATCCCCTTTGGGCAAGCTGTTCCTCAGTGTTTTCCCATCTGCAAAGCTGGGGGACCTGGTGTGTTTGTGGGCGCAAGAATGGTTGTGTGTAGTACATTAATGATGCCTCTATATAGCTCCTTCAGGAGCTCCAAGCGCTATGCTGGATGCTCACCCGTAATCCCTGCACCCCAGAGGCTAAAACAAGAGGGTTGCCACAAGTTAGAGGCCAGGCTGTCTATACATGACCTCCAAGGCAATTTGAGTGGCAAACAGAGAATCTGCATCAAAATAAAATAAGATAAAGGGAAAAAAAAGTTTAGTAAATGCTGTACGAAATTTCTTAACTTTTTTTTTTCTTTAGGGACTGGGGTGAAGCTCAGTTGGCAGAGTGCTTGTGTAACACGAGGGAGCCTCCAACCCCAGCACATGAACCGCGTAAGTGAGCACATGCCTGTAGTCCCAGCACTCAAAGTTTAAGATTATCCTTGGCTACATACGTAACTATCAAGTTTG